TCGAGTACGTCTGAAAGAAAAGTTATGCTAGTCATGTGGCAGGGCTGAGAGACAGCAGATGGACAATGTGGATTATTGAATGATAACTGCTAAAAGAACACCGAAAAGGCCGCCAGTGTCATGAAAGAGTCTACTTGAAGGACTGTTTGGATTTATCTGAATTAGTCAAAACCTCTCCACACTGACTTTGTCTGAGAGGCGAAAGGATCCAGAAATATTCAAAGGGTTGCAAGTACCAACAGCAGCCACCCAGTGGAAGCGCAGTCAGTATTTACCTTTTCGTAGGTTGCTTAGAAATTGATGACGGGAGGAATGGATGCCTCGTGAACGGATTGATTGTCTCAGTGGCGGAGACGAATCCTCGATCTTCTGCGCGAAAACAGCATACCCTCGTTGCGCCATACCCTGCAATATGAAGATGAGAGAAGCCCAAAAAAGAGGAGAATTTTGAAATTGTCAGCTGCATCAGTAGCGAGAAGAAACGCGACGATGAAATAACAGTTAACCGAAGTATTAAAATAAGTATCACATAGTTGGATAAATTTAGGATGATTTTCAAAAACAGTGGGCTTGGGCTTCCTTGTGTGTGCCGTGGGATTATGACTGCAGATGCAGAATACGTCGAATTGGTGTGTTTCCCAAAAACGGTACAATTGTTTCGGAAATTCATTTGTTTTATTGCGTGTATTTGTGGCTGAGCATGCACGTGTAGCAGTCGTACAGTTCCATAAGATATGACTGCCAGGAAATAAATGGGAGGATTCAGTACTTTCAAAATGCAGTCCAAGTACACGCACCGGTTGAATTTTTAGCGGTACGGTTTTGCGTATGAAATTTAGGTCTAAAAACGTGTGTATTTTCGAACCATAACCGACACCTGTGTTTTTTCACGTCAAGTGCACCTAGAATGCAGCTTTCATAATTAATACTGCTTGCTTGTGGGAAAGAAATTCCCTGTTTTTAAAGAACATTGGTGTTCAGTGCAGCGGCAGACGAGCAAAAAGGAAAAGTCATTTTGGCTGGCATGGATCTGACTCGTCCAGGTAACGATGTGGTTGCACGGGAGTTCAGTATCGAGGGTTATCCAACACTTGAATATTTTGAGAATGGCATGCACAAGTTCAGATACAAGGGCGAACATTCGAAGGTATTACGTTAAAATATTTCCATAAAAGCCGCTTTTTTGTATTTTTCTTTCCGAAATTTATGCGCTGTCTGTTTTTTTTTTTTTTTAATGGTAAGCACGGCGTTGCGCCATCCCCTCAAAAAAACCCAGGCTGGAACGCACCGGGCGGGTTCGTGCTATCTTGCGTCTTTGCACCAGACTTGAACAACTCAAGTCATTAATTGCACGAATGGTTGTTGCTTTACACCTCTTTTGCGGTCACTAGCATAAATCAGCATAAATTTTGCATAAAGTAAATGTACAATTTCCATTTAACAGTTGTTCTTTAAAAGTAACCTAGCTGTCCAGTGAAAAATTTTTCCACTAAAAGTTTTAAGTACCCGTATGTAAGAACCATTCACATCTCAAGGCTGAATTTAAAATACTTAAGTTGTACTTGGGCAGGGAACATTACCCCAAAATTTTAGTCTTCCAGCCTTTCTCGTTAC